GTAGTAGTAGTAAATAATTAGTAGTAAATAATTAGTAGTAGTAGTAGTAAATAATTAGTAGTAGTAGTAAATAATTAGTAGTAGTAGTAAATAATTAGTAGTAAATAATTAGTAGTAGTAGTAAATAATTAGTAGTAGTAGTAAATAATTAGTAGTAAATAATTAGTAGTAGTAGTAAATAATTAGTAGTAGTAGTAGTAAATAATTAGTAGTAGTAGTAAATAATTAGTAGTAGTAGTAGTAAATAATTAGTAGTAAATAATTAGTAGTAGTAGTAAATAATTAGTAGTAGTAGTAAATAATTAGTAGTAGTAGTAAATAAGTAGTAAATAATTAGTAGTAGTAGTAAATAATTAGTAGTAGTAGTAAATAATTAGTAGTAGTAGTAAATAATTAGTAGGCTAATGCTGCTATCACAACAAAATTACTCTTCTACACTTCAAGAAGTACTCATCAACTGTACTGATTAGCTCAATCAGTTCATGTCATTTCAAAGCTTCAATTTACTTGTCTTTAAATAAGTACACATGTACACTCGAAATCCCCACCTTTGAACACAAGTCAACTAGTAAACTTGATTGATTTTTATTTCAGGCTTTAAATGCCTTGTTATTTTGGGCCACCCTGACCAATCGTCATAAACTAGCCAAGGTTATCTGGAAGAGAACAGAAGATCCAATGACCATGGCTATTATTATCTCTATGATTTTAAATAATCTTTCTAAATATTGGTGTAAAGATATCGACATTAAACGCAAAATCAAGGTCAATGCTGAGTAAGTTGTTTTTTTTCGTTTTTTTTTTTTAAATTTGCCTCAAACTAGACACTCTGTGACCTAGGCCAGTGCTTTCAGTAACCCTTTCAACCCTAGCGGCCAGTTTACCGACCAAACACTAATGCGATATATACCCAAGCAGCTGGTAAACCGGCCATTACCAAGTGATGTCATACAACATTAACATCATACGCTTTTACTTTTTTAACTTGGTTACAGGGTACAGGGTATAAGATGTTTTATTTTATTTATACTCAGGGTTCAAAGGGTTAAGACTCGTTTCAATACACTTCAATAATAGACAGAGCAAAATTCACAAAACTGAGAATCTCTACTTTTAACTTCACAAGGCATCAAAATTTACGATTGACAAAAAAATAAATCAACAGAATGATAATTGAATGAAAAAAGTAAAAAAAAGCTCATTTTAGCAGATCTTCTATTTGTCACTTTATAAATTTAAAAACCGTGAATCATTGTGACGAAATTCGGTGTTGAATCCTTATTTACAGGAATATAGGTAATTATAAAATATAAAGTGAAGTGCTTTAGTCCATGTTCTGAATCAGATCAACAGGAATATCTGAAGTCAACTAGATATAGAAAGACCAGGACGAGGACAGGAATATCTGAAGTCAACTAGATATAGAAAGACCAGGACGAGGACAGGAATATCTGAAGTCAACTAGATATAGAAAGACCAGGACAAGGACAGGAATATCTGAAGTCAACTAGATATAGAAAGACCAGGACGAGGACAGGAATATCTGAAGTCAACTAGATATAGAAAGACCAGGACGAGGACAGGAATATCTGAAGTCAACTAGATACAGAAAGACCAGGACAAGGACAGGAATATCTGAAGTCAACTAGATATAGAAAGACCAGGACGAGGACAGGAATATCTGAAGTCAACTAGATATAGAAAGACCAGGACAAGGACAGGAATATCTGAAGTCAACTAGATATAGAAAGACCAGGACAAGGACAGGAATATCTGAAGTCAACTAGATATAGAAAAACCAGGACAAGGACTGGAATATCTGAAGTCAACTAGATATAGAAAGACCAGGACAATGACAGGAATATCTGAAGTCAACTAGATATAGAAAGACCAGGACAAGGACAGGAATATCTGAGGTCAACTAGATATAGAAAGACCAGGACAAGGACAGGAATATCTGAAGTCAACTAGATACAGAAAGACCAGGACAAGGACAGGAATATCTGAAGTCAACTAGATATAGAAAGACCAGGACAAGGACAGGAATATCTGAAGTCAACTAGATATAGAAAGACCAGGACAAGGACAGGAATATCTGAAGTCAACTAGATACAGAAAGACCAGGACAAGGACAGGAATTTCTGAAGTCAACTAGATATAGAAAGACCAGGACAAGGACAGGAATATCTGAAGTCAACTAGATATAGAAAGACAAAGACAAGGACAGGAATATCTGAAGTCAACTAGATATAGAAAGACCAGGACAAGGACAGGAATATCTGAGGTCAACTAGATACAGAAAGACCAGGACAAGGACAGGAATATCTGAAGGCAACTAGATACAGAAAGACCAGGACAAGGCAACTCGTTACTGACATCAGCTCTATAATAATTTTTTTGTGTTAATAATGAAATTGATAATTGTTCCAACAAGGAATTTCTTCAAAGAATAACTTCACGTGTTTCATTGTCTTGCATACTGATTCATGTTTATCAGAATTTTGATCAAAAGTTACATTAGTAGTACTAAGGGTCAAATTTTATGTTCTGGTACGTTTTCTTTCTCGTCTTCAACCTTCGCAATCACATCGACTGTCTCAGTATTATCAATATTCGTATTAGAAAGATCGATATACTCTCCAAATTCCAGCCCTTCTCCATCTTGCACTCGTCTTAACTCGTTAATTTCATGTTCTTCATATCTCGTACGATTTGATTTGAGTCTTTCAATGACTTGCCGCATTTTAAATGTTGGTGTTTTTCTCAAAGCGCGAAGAGCTGAGTTTAGTGGTACTGATTTTGGTTTTTTGACGTTCATTCCTGTCAAACGCTGTAGAACTAAATCTTGTGTATTGTACGTCCCTTCTAGCTGGCCATCTTTATGGTTACCATGGATATATTCCCATGCTTCTTTGTGTTCAGTTGGTTTTTTAGGAACGGTGAAATTAATGTCTGTGGTTTTGTTGTCCATTTTGTTGTGGTCTGTGTCCTGTTCTTCATCCTCACTGCTACTCTCAAACCATAGTTTTTTATGTTTCGTTTTTCGTGGTTTATTGATGTCTTTGATGAACGTGTTGACTTTCTTTTGAACCGTTTCAAATTGTCGATGGAGCATTTCTGGAGTCAGAGGTTGGATTGGTTTCTGATTTGGAAGATCCAAGGTGATGTGGCTTTGAGCATGAACACTGTTATTTCTGTTACTTCCTTTCTTCACAGAATCTTCCTCTTCATCCGAGCTGTCGGAGAATTCTGCTGATTTGGTCCTGACGGAAATAGCTAGTTTATTTTTGTCTTGATCTTTTCCAAAGAGGACAGCTCGTAGATCCACTTTTTCGTATTCGGCGAAATCATCATCCGAATCGGAGCAATCATACGTTGGAACTTTGCGTGGATATGGAACATTTATGTTTAAAACTTCAGCAGTTCGTTCCAGTCTTTGTCCACGATCAATTTTATTGGCGCCAAATTTCACGCTGTGTTGTTTGCGATGGGATGTTTTGTTAATTGTTGGCAAGGTGGTGGCAGATGTGGACTCCTGTTTTCTGATTCTGTTAATAACCATGGGTGCTGATTTTGTAGATCTGACTTTAGAGTTGTCTCTACTGTGAAACGTCTGTGCTGTTTTGGATCGCTCGGTTAAAATTTCATCGAATTCTGTGTTTAAACGTTTCTGTTTTAAAAATTCTCGAGCCTTAGCTACGACAGGTGTCAAGGCCGTGTTGTCAATTCCTCGTTGACGGACTGGATGTTTGAGTCTTTTCTCCAAATATGGAGTATCAATATCGGCACAGAGGCGTCTGGACGATGAAATTATTTGAGAATCATCGTAATTGTAGTCAGCTTGAGGTTCTATTCGTTTCCGCAGCTCGATGTCGTGTTTCCGTTTGTCCAGTTCTAAAAGTTTCATCTCAAACTGACAGTTACTTTTGTTGTGATAAATTTTTTGAATCACCTGATCTTTTTTACGATCTAGATTATCCTTGGTGCTACGAAAACTATTTTCACAAACTTTGTTCCTTACTGTCGTCATCTTCTGCTGCATGTTTCCTTTTTTCTGGAAATCTCCCTGCGCCTCCGTTCTCATGGTTTTAAACGGATTGGAAACCAGTTGATCCGTGTCCATGATGAAATAGTTTCCTGGAAAGAGAAAAATAAATAATTCAAAACAATTCCAAAACAAGTTGGGTTGGAACACTGTCTTTTATTAGGAAGTGGAATAGCTCAGTAGGTAGCGAGTTGGATTGTCGTCTGCTAGACGTTTAGGTGCTGTGGTTTCGAATCCTCCTCAAGGTAAGGAAATTTCTGATGCCTGTGCCAATGCTTCCAAGAGTCGGCCCAGTGTCAGATCTCACCCCCTAAGACCTAATTTACAGTTGGGTTGACTGGAATGATGAGGAAAGATGACTTATTTAAAATCATGTACCGCCCAAGATTAGAGCCTACCTTGGTCTCAGTATATTGTTTGTATTATCACCTACCCTGGTTATTAACATTAGGTCTCAGTAGAGTCTGTATTATCACCTACCCTGGTTATAAACATTAGGTCTCAGTATATTGTCTGTATTATCACCTACCCTGGTTATTAACATTAGGTCTCAGTATATTGTCTGTATTATCACCTACCCTGGTTATAAACATTAGGTCTCAGTATATTATCTGTATTATCACCTACCCTGGTTATAAACATTAGGTCTCAGTATATTGTCTGTATTATCACCTACCCTGGTTATAAACATTAGGTCTCAGTATATTGTCTGTATTATCACCTACCCTGGTTATAAACATTAGGTCTCTGTATATTGTCTGTATTATCACCTACCCTGGTTATAAACATTAGGTCTCAGTAGAGTTTGTATTATCACCTACCCTGGTTATAAACATTAGGTCTCAGTATATTATCTGTATTATCACCTACCCTGGTTATAAACATTAGGTCTCAGTATATTGTCTGTATTATCACCTACCCTGGTTAAAAAAAACATTAGGTCTCAGTAGAGTCTGTATTATCACCTACCCTGGTTATAAACATTAGGTCTCAGTATATTGTCTGTATTATCACCTACCCTGGTTATAAACATTAGGTCTCAGTAGAGTCTGTACCCCCATTTTATACTTTAAGATCTCTTTTCCTTTTTTTTGATATTTCTCGCAAAGTATTCCAAAAATATACATCCAGTGCCTTAATTTTTATGCAAATCTAATTTTTCTGATAAAAAATTTAAGCTACACTTTTAAGCTCCAAAATTCAACCAATGTAATGTCCTTCACAATCTAAAAACAACAGCACATTTTTTAAGTTCCTATATTATATCTATATCCTATAAGTCTGAAAATAGTTTCACAAATAGACCGTATTGAAATTACATTTCAGTCTAAAAGAGATTTAAAACAAGTCTAGACTTGGTATAGATTATTATAATCTACTGGTTTAAATTAAATTTGATAAGTTTTATTTTGAGATAATGTGTTGAACAGGATTATTGAAAAAATGTCCCTTCTCCTAAATCCAATCTTCTACGATCAAAGAGATACAGTCTGATAATCCTTTAATCCTAATCTAGTTTGTAGTTAATTAATTGTTAATCTTGTAACCAAATTCATTTAATTTTAAGGCATTTATAGAAATTAAAAATTATATCTGATCTTTACGTGTATATCAGAGACACTTAAAAAATATAAGCATTTACACCATTACTTATTTATACTTATTTTAAGAAATTTAAGGGCATTGAGAGGGCTTCAATTCTAGTTTTATTTTGTCATTCAGGGTAAGTTAACAATTAACAGGCTTTCAAAAAGGTGTCTTCTTATTGTATATCTATCTGTAACACAAAAACAACAAAGCTTGAAATAAGATAAATATTTTCACAAATGAAAAAACTGAATAAATAAATAAAACTTCCTGAATCTTACCAGATTGTTGTATGGGAGAAATAACAGCTTCAAAAGATGTTCGCATTGGAAATATTGACATTCTGTCTACAATTTTATAGACTCTAGATATAACAGGAATCTTTCACAATAAAGTTTCTTTTTGTCTCAAGAATTTCTTTTTATCCCAAAAGTTTTATTGTCATTAAGTTTTAGTAAACATGCTGTTAAAAACAATTATATTCCTTTCAAATTAGAAATACACAAAATATTATATCACCAGATATTCCTCAAATCTTGTTTTTTCACTCAATAATTTGTTTCAATGCCATACAATTTTGACTGCCATGTTAATTATTAAACAATTGATACGTTTTATCAGTTCTAATGGTCCACTCAATATTTTAATGTAGAGTTGGAATTGACAATATGTCTTATTCTAAGTTGATTTATCCAAAATATTATCAACAAAAAAACACTATAGAAATACCATGATCAATTGATCAAAACTACCAATCTTTTACACATCTGATGGTAATGATTTGCTCTCCTAAAATCTTGATTAAATTTGAACTTATTTCATCCAAATATTATCTTCAAAACGTATACAAGGTGTCCATATCTTTTGATGTAATCTATCCTACGTAAAAACCTAAATTAAATATGACTCTAACTTGTTAATATTTGTTTCAAGATATCTACCAGAGCAGAACGTATCACTCAATACTGTCATTGTTAGAGGTATATAATCATCAAATTTTAGATTGTAATATTTAATAGAGGGGGGTTGATAGTAATATTTGATAGAAGGGATGTTGATAGTAATATTTGATAGAAGGGATGTTGATTGTAATATTTGATAGAAGGGGTGTTGATTGTAATATTTGATAGAAGGGATGTTGATTGTAATATTTGATAGAAGGGGTGTTGATTGTAATATTTGATAGAAGGGATGTTGATTGTAATATTTGATAGAAGGGGTGTTGATTGTAATATTTGATAGAAGGGATGTTGATTGTAATATTTGATAGAAGGGATGTTTGTAATATTTGATAGAAGGGATGTTGATTGTAATATTTGATAGAAGGGAAGTTGATTGTAATATTTGATAGAAGGGATGTTGATTGTAATATTTGATAGAAGGGATGTTGATTGTAATATTTGATAGAAGGGATGTTGATTGTAATATTTGATAGAAGGGGTGTTGATTGTAATATTTGATAGAAGGGCGACTAACTCACTGAGCCATCACATTGTAACTTGAGGTGAAAATTTCTAATGAAATTGGGTACACAAATGTGAAGGTATATTTCAACTATAATCACTCACTGAGACTGAGGGTGATACCTCTCAAGGTATACCATATACTAGTATTGGATCTTTGACCTTCAGGTGTTCAACTCACTGTGCCTCTGTAGCATCCCCAATCATCTAAACATCTCATACATTTTAATGGCAACGGTGTTGACTATAGGGTTAAAAATCATTCATTATAATTACCACTGACAAACCAAATTCTATGCTAGATTGATCAGCTTTATCAATTGGTTAATAATTATTATTTTTTTAAATTTTGATTATAAAAAAATATACAGTTTCTAACATATACATACACAATACTTCATTAATTAAACAATTTAATAATAATACATTATATAGACAACCATATCCCTTTAAATTCAATCATTAAATCAATCAAAATTATTGATCTGTAGAGATATTAACATAAATATCACATTTCTGTAATTCAATATAAAATAAATTCTCTTATCGTATTAAATTAATGTTTTGTTTAGTTATGTTTTATATTTGAAGGGTTTGCCACTTCAGTTTCAAATTTCAAGTCTTGACTTAACCACTGTTTTATATTTTTTAATTTGACTTGTTTATTGTTTATTATTTATGAGTTGGGGGGGTCAGGGGGGGGGGGGAGTTAAACTCTTGCTCGTTAATGTGCAAATCTTAGGTTAAATCCAGTATTGGGTCAAGATAAAACAATAAGATTTTTCAATCAGTTTCCCCATTATTGATGCAGACTCTGATGTTTACCAGTTTGTCCTTGGTCAAACCTTTTGTCATTGATTTTACGAAGATGTAGGATGTAGGATGTAAAACTCTCAATTAATTTTCTGTTTATTTTCAGTGAGTTTGGTAAAATGGCAGTGGAACTGTTAGATCTGTGTTATAACGATTCTAGTGTTCAGGCGTTCAACATCCTTAATAAAGAACTTCAAGATTTTAACAACAGAACCATTGTAGAGATTTCTAAACTGGCAAACAACAAGTTTTTCTTGGCTCATTCGTGTTGTCAGAAATGGTTGGGACAGCGTTGGTGTGGTAAAATACAAATACGAGAATTGGATTGGGGAATTAAACTGCCTGATTGGTTTAAAATCTACACCAGCGTATTCCTAGTCTTTCCCATGTTTGTCTGGATCTCGTTTAAAACGTCGGAAATCACGTATAGTGGTGAGGAAAATGAAGGTTAATACAAATTTTATTTCATTGGCGTAGAATCTAGTTTCGTATCTCGGGGAGGTGAATGTTTGTTTATGTATCGTTAATCCTTTCAGGGCTGTGTTTTTGATATTTGATGGTTTATGGCGTCATCTTGTCAACCGAAAGCTTATTAACTTTAGATAGCGATTGCTCACTGCTTGCAAACTCTTAACATTAGATATGTAATTTCTGTGTATTGGTATTTAGTAGCATGGTTTATATAGACAACTATTATAAACTTTAACAAAAATATAAAAATTTATGTATTTTAAGGAATAACAAAGCTTTGTATCTATATTTTCATAAAATTCATTTTAGTTTCCATTTTTCATCTCATTATCATAAACAATTATTCTATTTATTGTCAGATTAACGTTCGCTTTTAAATTTAACCAATGAGAATACACTTTATATGATGATGTCATTACCGTGAAATTCTTCAGTCTTGAAAGGGTTAACGAGATATGGAGGTGTTGGAATTAATATAAAAATCAAACCGCTTGCATTCCTCTTGCATTTTGGGAGAAATGTTCATGCAAATTTGATTGAGATCTAGAAATTAAAACTAACTATGCATGTACATGTTTCTAAAAATAGATCCCTCCTTGCCGCTTCCTCGCTCTACGCCTTTGATCTTATTGTTACTATTTGAAACGGAGAGTAACATACAGTTTGAAGGCTGGAGTATACATTGTATTATTAATTTGCATGATTATTTTTTGAATTTTTTCAGTATCTTATAACAGACAATATAATATTTAAAAATATCTTTATCTATCCCGTAATACTAATTGTGTTTTGCTCTTCAGTTTCAAATAATATCAATTTAATTTAGATTGGACCAATTCATCTTCACAAATTCTATGTAGGGAGCAGCATGTATTGGGGGGGAGAATGGGCAGAAAACTCTAAATATTTAAAGCTCTCTCAGTACTGCTGGCTTCAGGAAAAAGCTTGGCGCTTATTTAGGCTACTCCAATATACTGTTCCGCCCCACCCCACCCACCCTGTATAATTGCCCCTCTATGACTAACCAGATAAAAACAGCATGGTGGAAGATTAGAAATATCTTGTCGTGTCTTAACTAAAGGTTTAAATGTATTTTTATAATATTTGAATTCTAACAGCATGAAACGTAACTTGTCCTCGTGTTTGTTGAAATCGAATCATTTATAATAATTTTATTGTTAGCATCTTGGTGGTAAGTTCAAATTCAATATTCACCTTCGTTAAAGTTTTTTTTAAATGTAATCTTTTAAATTAGTATTTTCAATAAATTGAACTTAATTAATAAGAGTTACATTTTTTTCAGTAAAATTTCAAATCGTTTAAAAATTTTTTCTTGAATTCAAACATTGTTTTACTAAGTTTTGTGTTTCAATATTTAATTTTTGTGGCAAACCTAAATGAAAAAAAAAATGCGTTAAATGAAGAATTCATTAGGATTTTCTTAAATAATCTGATTAGCACATATTGAAAATTGTTTAACTTGATTTTGCCCAGAACAATTATTGCTTGTCTATGGATTATAGATTTGTATATTAAATTATGATGTAAGATTATAATATTAAATATTGTAGAAGGAGAAGAAGATGATGAAGAGGCCAATGAAGATAATTTTATGTTACAAACTAACAATATGACACCAAAACGGGTAAAATTGTATCTTTTGAATTCAAGATATTCCCTGATATTCTACAATGTCCCTGTGTCTTATATAGTACCATAATACAGTGGAGGGCTTTTCCTTTCTTCCAACAACTCTGTAAAATAACCATAGCATTCAAATGTATTTTGGTATTGTGCGGGGCACAGTAATATTGTCGCATTGATTTTTGAATGGTTCATCTTTGTATATATACAGTAGATCTAGAACGAATTTGATTTCTATCATGGTGATCATTCCACAAGACTAGAAATCTAAAAATCTGAACAACTCCTATACAAGTTGACATTTTACATCTGGTGCTAACCTGGCCAATATACCATCTGTAGATTTATCAGATTCGTCTCGCTAATTTTATAGTCCGTTCAGAGAGTTCACAAATACTTATTTTTTTGTTTTCTGTTCCCTTCTGACATGATAATTATCGTAACATTTCTCTGTTAATTTACAGAAACAGAAGAAAACCGATGAAGTAATAATAAAGATACAGAACCTCGTTGATCGTGGTGAAACTAAACTTCCTGTTTATAAACAAATCTTCTATCTATGGAGTGCTCCTATTACTAAATTCTGGATTCATCAGGTATGATTCTTTCACAACTTTATAATCTACCATCAATGATTAATATAATATATACAGGTATATAGTCAGCCATGTTTTCATACAAAATTCATTTGAGTTATCTGTATACTGTAATTATGATTGAAAAAACACCAACTTCTGACCTACAAAATAAAACCTAGATCCAATACAACATAATGGCAAAACATTGGTAGCAGCTACTAAACTTTTCATATAATGAAGTAGGAAATGAAATGAAATGAATGGAGTTTCACGTCCTACTTTTCCGCACCATGTGGGCTAATGAAGACGGGCAACGCCATTCAGAGTGCAGTGAGAGAAATTATGCCAGGACAGCGCCATTAGCCTGCTCTTTTTCAGCCCCTCTTACCTGCATCATGTATATCAATTGTAAATAAGGAAGTATATTATAATGAAAAATGGTATGAGATGTCTAGAAGAGTAATCATACCCCGTCTGGTACCACATCAAACAAACAACACATTGGTAGCATTTAATATTTTATAATAAAAAGTAGTATCAGGTGTTAATGAAAAATTTCAAATCTTAATAAACATCAATTTATTTATTTTTTTAGCTATTCTATGTATTATTTTTGGCATTGTTCAGTGTGGCCACGTTAATGCCTACCTGTGGTAATGTTTTTATGAATTTTGCGGTGTTTCTATGGACATTGATGATCTGGTTGGAAATTACTCGAATGACCTACGTTAAAAAATGGGTAAGTCGATCGTTGATTTTATTTTTTGTAGCTATTGACTGTCTTGACTGTTGACTGTTGATTTAAATATTACTCAATTCAATATTATTTGATTTTGCAAAATCATAAAACCATAGTTTCGGATATTTAATGAGGTTTTCTAGTTTTTTTTATGTGTACGTTATATATATATATTTACTCAAGTTTTTGAAATGAGTTGCTGGATTTAATATTACCCGAGCATTGGCCATGTTGTTTTGTTTACATCGTGCATGAATCGAATGTCATGGCCTAATATGCATAGTTCTAAAATTTTTCTTGATGAACTGTTTCAGGTTTTTGCCTTGACTTATAGATGATTTTAAGATTATTTGAAAATTCATTATTAAGGCACTAAAGATTTTGTTTCAATCTGACAGCTGGTAGTGGGCGTATGTTACCTTGCCTGGAAAGCTATCTTTAATGATATTCCTCATCTCCATTGTAATCTAACAAGTTTTCTACTGCAATTTTTTGTAATGAATAAAATGACTATTTTTTATAATTTCAGAAATATCCTGAAGTACCGATATTTTTAGCGACAGTAGAAATTGGACTAATTTTAGTATTTTTATTAGTATATTTGATATTCCGTATTTTACCTCATTTTGTGGATCATATAGACTATATGACGGCCAAGTTCTTGATGAGTATTGGGTTGTTATTTTTCTATTATCGAACTCTCGCTGTTTTCTTACCAATTTCAAGAACTCTTGGACCAATGTTGATTGCTATTAAAAGAATGGTGAGTCTTTTTTTTGCAATTTTTGGACCTTCCATGGCTTTTCTTTCCTGATTATGCAGGATACGATCTTTCAACCCAGTTTCCCTGTGTCAGAGATGCAGTCAACCCAGTTTCCCCCTGTCAGTGATGCAGTCAACTCAGTTTCCCCCTGTCAGTGATGCCGTCAACTCAGTTTTCCCCTGTCAGTGATGCAGTCAACCCAGTTTCCCCCTGTCAGTGATGCGGTCAACTCAGTTTCCCCCTGTCAGTGATGCGGTCAACTCAGTTTCCCCCTGTCAGAGATGCAGTCAACCCAATTTCCCCCTGTCAGTGATGCAGTCAACCCAGTTTCCCCCTGTCAGTGATGCAGTCAACCCAGTTTCCCCCTGTCAGTGATGCAGTCAACTCAGTTTCCCCCTGTCAGTGATGCAGTCAACCCAGTTTCCCCCTGTCAGTGATGCAGTCAACCCAGTTTCCCCTTGTCAGTGATGCAGTCAACCCAGTAGAAATTGAAGATATAAAATTGAATATTTGTGATATTTTTGTAGATACGTAAAGATTTTTTAACATGGTTCCGTATGTTTATGATAGTGATGGTATCTGGTGGTATTTCAATCCATGCTTCACTCTATCCTAACTTCCCAATCACTGTGGATGCGTTAAAAAAGGCGTTCGCTCGAGCATTTTTCGCCATGTTTTTAACCAAGATTGATGATCTTGATGGTAAGGACATCTTTGAATTTTTTTTTTTTTATTTGATATTTTGTGTATGTTTGAATACTTTTGAATATTATTGTACTTGACTTGGTTCATCTTTACAATGTCAATTAAGATATTACGAGTTTCATCTTATACTTCAATTGTCACATTTCTTGTATCACTCAAGTTTGTAAAGGCAGGGATTTTATTGGATAGTATGCCAGCGAATACAGCAAATCATAGGCCTCGACAGACTGACTGTAATCATTATGGTTTGTTTACAGGCTTTCTGTCTAAGGGCTCTTATTTGCATAAAATCCAATCATATCACTGCATTCAGTGATTTAAGAAAGGTGACTATTGCAGTCAAGGTATAAGTATGAATTTTGTAATAGCTTGACATTGGGAAGATGTGATACAAGAAAGGAGGCTATTGCAGTCAAGGTATAAGTCGAAGTTAGTGATAACTTGACTTTGTGACTTTGTTTTGTTATAATTTGTATTACAGGTGATCCATCGTGTTCGTATTTATATCAAAATGTTTCTGATGAATATTGTGCAGGTAAGAAAATGTTTTTTAGTTGAAGTCTATCTGAGAGAACAAAAGTAATTTAAACATATAACATTTTAACATTTAAACATTTAACATTTAACATTTAACATTTAACATTTAACATTTGAACATTTTACATTTAATATTTAACATTTAACATTTAACATTTAACATTTAACATTTAACATTTAATATTTAACATTTAATATTTAACATTTAACATTTGAACATTTTACATTTTACGTTTAACATTTTACATTTAACATTT